CTGAGATGGTCCTGATAAACAAAAATCAGTCACTATATTTTGGATTAAACATGCCATGTTAAGATATTAAATCTACTGAGATGCTTTCACTTGGTCTAACAGATCATCATTGTTATTTGTAAAGTCTTTTTCAAACCTCTCTGGAAAAATTCAAATGTCTTTATTTGTAACCTTAGCTTTCTCTACCTTTACTCTTTAATTAACTTCCCTTTCCCCTTTTTTTTTAGGTGAAAATCATCGAGACATTTGTCAAACACATCTACTGACAATCTTCAACTTCTCGTTCTGTTCATTCACCAACACATAAGTAGGAAATCATGAACTGGGGTGCTCTACAGGCGCTCCTTTACGGAGTTAACAAATACTCCACTGCCTTTGGCCGGGTCTGGCTCTCTATGGTGTTCATCTTCCGGGTCATGGTGTTTGTGGTGGCGGCTCAGCGTGTCTGGGGGGACGAAAACAAAGACTTTGTCTGCAACACTGCCCAGCCAGGCTGTGTCAATGTTTGTTACGACCACTTTTTCCCCATTTCACACATCCGCCTCTGGGCCCTGCAGCTCATTTTTGTCACATGCCCATCGCTCATGGTCACAGGTCATGTCAAATACAGGGAGATGAAGGATTTGAAGTACACTAAACTACACGAGGGGAAGCACATGTACGCCCACCCTGGAAAGAAACGTGGAGGGCTTTGGTGGACATACCTGGTAAGAATAATGGATATTCAACAATTAGTTATTCTTTATTTTGCATTGAAATTAGCTAAAGTTGTGGTTAAAAGTAATGGGAAAATATGTAAAACCTTTCATGCACTCATATGAACAGTTATATTTAGATTTTTCTTTGCCAGTTTTGACATAAATCCATTCCATTTTGCAGCTGAGCCTTATCTTCAAGGCTGGCTTTGATGCTGGCTTCCTCTACGTCCTGTACTACATCTACGAGGGTTATGACATGCCACGCTTGACCAAGTGCTCCCTGTTCCCCTGCCCTAATACAGTGGATTGCTACATATCCCGACCCACAGAGAAAAAGATCTTCACCCTCTTCATGGTGGTCTCCTCTGCTGTCTGTATCGTAATGTGTATCTGTGAGATGATCTACCTCATCTTCAAACGTATCAAAAAGTTTATGAAGAAGAGGAAGGAGGCAGAAATGAAGTTATTTGCAGAGACTCATGAGATGAAACCACTCTCACGACCAAGGTCGCAATACAAGTCCAAAACTAAAGAAAGAGTGGATCCTACAGCTTCAAATCAGAACATCACCAACAGTACAGTGGAAGAAAAGTCTTCCAAGGTATAACAATTTCCAGTTTACCCAATCCTGCTGAAAAGCCAGAAGTAAACTTTCAGAGCCGTTATAACAAACTCCATAGAGAGTAACACCATTTCTTAAGGCGATTCTTGAAAGTGGATTTGTAAATCACCTGTATCAGTTTATCACATAAACTGATATTCAATACAAGCCCAACATGGACTAATTCAAACAATGAAGTCTACGCTGGAAAAAGACTTTTGACTTGCATGTTTGAAAAGACTATTATGTTTGAGTGTCTTTATTTCTGGTTATCTGTAATAGGCAGGCTTTTAGTTAGCAATGCGTATGGGAGTACATTTTACAGCCTTTTCTAAAAAAAAAAAAGACAAATTGTAAGCCCTGTTTTTGAGATGTACAGCTTTGGTACGCCCTAATTTTCCCCTGGAAACTTCGCTTAAATGTTTAAAATTTCACAGGCAGCAGATGCTGGGGTTGGAAACATTTTTTTTTTTTCTGTTCGACATGCCACATCAACCAATGAGAGAAGCTTATCTGGGAGCTGGCAGGGAGACGGACAGTGCCTCCGATGCAGAGGGCTGTGAACACTCCCCTGAAACTATTTATTAACGCCTAAATTAACTTACAATGTCGAAACCCGCCAACCTCCGACAGAGTAATAATATTTTAAGGTAGGATCGTAATCTTGATTAACTGATTACGCAGACGATGTTTTGAGGTTGACTTTCTCGCATAAAAATATATTAAAACTTTTTACCAGCTTATCACAGCAAATATAGCAAAGCCACTCTGCCATCAAACAAAGGAGCAGCAGAAACATCAGATGTATCTGTACAAACTTTACTGGATGCGCTTCACGAGCATGAAAGATTCTCTCTAGGCATGTGTAACCTTAATGTGTACAAGCATCAGAAATAAAGCAGCAGGTGCTTTTTTGATGCTCAAATCGCACTGTGAAGGTGGCATTAAATGTTCTCATTATTTGAATTAACCTCTGAAACTTAACATTGTACCTGAAAATGACCTCATGTCTTCCCTATGAAATTTCCACCTCTAGTCAAGTTCACATTTCTCAAAACCATGACAAATATAGTGTTGTGAAAAAGACAAAAAGTTTACTGCATTCCACCCCAAAATGCAGCAAATAGCATTTCAGAGAGTCGAAATTTCATAATATTCTGGGGTAGGATACCCCCGGACCCCCTTAAACCACGCAAACACTAAAGATGTGGTACACCAAGGTATACACCCTATAAAATATTTCTAGCTAAAAGCCTAGTAAGAGGTGTAAATAATCAAGACCCACAGACAAAGTAAACAATGCTACTGATATGGACAAAAGCAACAACCACTATTGATAAACAGATAAAGAAATTAACAATCAGAGCACTTTGTTGAATGAAACAGTGGGATAAATGACTTAAAGCGGTAATGTTTACAAAACTGTCTTATCACTGTCTGTTTAATGAAACAGATTTTTCTACTGAACAAATGTAACTTCATAAACTGCTTTTAATACTAATTTCATAGGATTAACAATCAATAAATACATATTGAAAAGGGGATTAAGAAGTGTTGAAAATGTTGTTGCTTTTATACTTTGTATTTATCATTGAAACCAATAAATGCCTACATAGTAAAATTGTTCTAGAAGTTTATTTTAAAACCGAGGAAAAAAATATATATTGCATTTGAATGAAGAGAACCTGTCCATGATAACCAAGCACAAAGCGACAGTGGAGAGGAGGAGTGTCCGGGAGGAATGACACTCTGATGATGCTTTGGCTACGATGGTGGAGGAGGGGCTGGAGGTGGGTTGAAACGTAGTCATCTGAATGAAGTCACACAGCGCATCCACCACCTGCGCACAGGAGCAGAGTAGTGGTGGGTCGAAGGCATTTTAATTTGAACTTTGGATGCTGATTGGCTTTCATGGAGGTGTGGTTCAAAGCTGATTTGCTGTGTCGCAGGTGGATGTAGGAGAGCAATTCATTTCTTCAGTTGAACTTCCGCCCAAGCTCCATTATAGAAACATATGAAAACATTATAGCCACTATAATTTTCTGAACTTTATAGATGTAAGTTTTCTAAAACAGGCTGTAAATCTTTCTCAACATACACCGACTAATTTTCTACAAATAGATAATTATAAATGAAGAACTTGATGTAATATTTATTCTCAGGTTCAGATGCGGTCCAAACAAATTTTTACCGTCATTTTATCAGAATTACTCAACAAGCCTTTTCTTGAAGTCTTTGAGATTTGTATATTTGCACCTACATTGAGACAGGGGGTTAACATGCAAATTTTTAAACCCAGTTAAGCAACAAGAATTATAGAAAACAGGAGACCCATAACACTTAAAAACACAAAAACAAACTATTAACTGTTTTTTTTTGCCATTTCTCTTCACTCAGGTCCATCTGATATTACTTCTGTGAAAAGTCAATCTTTTGTCATGATAGGTCAAATTTTTTATTTTTTGCCCACATGCAGAAACACTCAGAGATTTGAAAAGTTTGAATGTTTATTTTCAGTAAAAAAAAAAAAAAAAAAAAAAAAACATGAATCTGGTTAACACAGCTTGGTGGGACCTGCGGCCAGGTGTCCAGGTGCAACTGCACACAAGGAGAGAGAGAGTAAGGTAAGATCATGGTTGGTGGGAAAAAGTAGATGACTGAATGCTCTGTTCTAACTTGAACTTGCTGCCAGAATTGGAGGGTGGTATGTGGTTCCAGTTGCGGGGGCCTTGGCTTGGTGAAGGTGGACATGTCATTGGAGGGTGGACAGGTTAGTTTATGGAAGCTTAAAAGAGCAGCGGAGCGGACTGTCAACAGGAGACTACGATGAGGTCTGAGCTCAGAGGAGAGGAGTTGTGAGCTCTTGCTGTCTTGAGAGGTTTTCCTCCAAGGCTGGAAGGAATTGAAAAATCCCAGAGGATCTGATCCTGCTAAAGATGTACGTAAAAACAGAAGGTAAGAGCATGAAAAAACTTGAAAAGTTCAGAGAATTACTCAGCAAAAAGTTCTGAGGGGCTAGAATACCCAAAACAGGCAAAGAGGTGATGACAGTCAGCTGCTCATATACTCCTCTGAGGCGATGAATGATTCGTTGCAGGTGTGGGTAGCTGAGATGTGTAGGCAAGACCTCCAAGACAGAGTAACCAGATGGCACCATCTGGTTAACCCCACAAACTGGAACCCAACATTCTTATATATAGAGATTTATACATACTTCTATACATCCCGTGATGAAAGTTACAAAATATTGAGAGCTAATTCATGATTAAGGCTTCAATCCTTTTTTTTAACTTTTTCAAGGCTTATAATGATTTGAATATTACTTTTAAGGAGTTCTGGATAACACATTAAATTTAAAGAAAAATTGGTGGTCTATATACAAAAATATTAGTTGTGTTATTCTTTCTAACGGTTCTACTCCTAATTTTACCGTTGGTGTTGGAATCCAGGAGGTTGTCCCTGTTTGACTTTTTTTATTTATTTATTTATTTATGGTAACAACAAAGATGTTGAATATCTATTTTAAAAATGGTAAGGATATTAACCTTTGAATGCAGTGGATTCAGAGACTGCTATCAGTAAACTGGTGGATAACACAATGCTATTCTTAAAAAAATGAGCATCAGATCCCAATGGCGTTCATTTCCACAACTACTTTAACCTTATTAAATCTGAAATTGAGCATCTACCTAACTGAAGCCCAAAAAAGAAATGGTTTCAAGAACCTTGTCAATTTTAGGATTTATATATTTTTCAAAATGTTATATATATAAAAAATTATTTCCTCAATAAATTAAACAAATTTAAATAATAATTAAATAAAATTAATTTACATTTTTTTTGGATGAACGGGCCACATAACAAAACAATACAAATTAATGAAGTAAAATGTGACTGAGGATGGTGCAAAGTTATAGACTTAAATTTCGTAAATTAAAAATACAACTGTTTTAAATCCTGCATCAAACTGTTGGGATCTGGAGTTTTGCCCACCTTCCTCCAGCAGATGGCGCCCTGGATCTCCTGGAGCTGAAGCCACCGCCACACCTGCGGCTGATCAGCTCAACAGAAGGAGCAGCATTTAAGCAGCGTCAGAACCTCTCTTCAGTGCCAGAGTGTTGCGTAGTTATGGTTAGCGAACCTGAGCCAACCAGCCTGCCTGATTCTCTGTCCCCCAGAAAATCTGATCTGATCTGACTCTAATCAGTTTTCTGTCTTCTCCTTCTTCTAGACACATTCAGACCCAGACCTGGATCTCTGGAAGAGTCCCTCTGAAACCAGCCTGCCTGCCTGCTCTCAGTATGAGACCTGAAGAACCTTCTACTGAACCTGCGATCCAGAGGCTTCTAGGAAGAAGCTCTGTGCCCCTCGAGTCTGAAGTAGAGAACTGACGCTGCCTAGCCATCTGACCACAGATCAAACTCCAGACCAACTCGGTTCCCCCTCTCAACCAAGTCAATCCGAAAACTCAGAACCAGGTACAGAATCTAGCCTCTCTATCAAACTTCAAGTCCCTGTCCATCTGGCTAACATAACTATCAGTTTCTGCAGATCTCCGTGTGTGACCAGTACTCGGGCCTGTAGCCTCGTTCCAGTTATTTCTGTGTTTACTGACTTTAACTCTGAACAAACCATCTTTTTGTACAGCATCCAAAATAAACTATTAAAACTTTCCCTGTTTCCTGGTAGTGTTCTGCATGTGGATTAGACACCTGAGCCCAGACATGACACAAACATCATAGTGTATCTCGGCATTGTGTCGCTACCTTTCTTTTAAGCCAGCTGATTGGTCTAGATTAGCCCCTGATGACTGGCTTTTTTACAAAAACCTCCATATAGAAATGTCCCTTGACTGGAAAATGGTATACACCCACCGCACTATACAAGAATGTGGATAATATATATTCACACTACACTGTAACAAGTTCCCATTTTTCAAGGATTGGTTTAATGAATATTTAGTCTGTATTCC